AAGACTACAGGCTTCTGTTACTTTTGCTCTTGCAAGTTATAGGGTGTTGTGGCTCACCACTGGCCAGCAGAGCTGGCAGCTGATTTGGACAGTGAGGAGGTTGGGGAGGAACCTGGGCCAGTCCTGGAGTTTAATGAAAGCTCTGATGAGGGTTCTGTGTTGGAGGCAGAGAGGGGGCCAGAGCCATCTGACAGTTATCAGCTGCCTTCAGAGTTAGACATCAGTGAGGCAGACAAACAGCTGGAGCCTGTTCCCAGTGTGCACATGTACAGAGTTGCCAGACGAAGGGAACAAAACTAAAGAACAGGGGTCAATTTGGGAGTAAGGCCAGACGATGAATGGCCCCTCCCAGAGGAAATAAAAGAGGGAAGAAAGGGGAGTTTGCAGGAGACAATTAGTTTGCTAATTAGTTAGTGACTCTCTGAGACTCTTTGCCAAGTTTTGCAGATATTGGCCTGGCAGCTCCCTACGCCAAATAAGGTCTGTAACTGTAAATACTCCCTGGAAAGACTTTGCTGGATGTGAATGACCAGAATTCATAGTGAATTAATAAAAGGGGGTTTTGTTGGGACTAAGAGTTTGCTTCATGCTCTTGGGGAGCCTAGGTGGATTATGAGGTAGGGTGTGTTTTGATGATATAGTTAATTATTGCCAAAGCATGGATGAATAGTGACTCGATAGCTTCTCCCAAAACACTATTACATTCATTCACTAAAAATATTTTACAAAGAAATAAGGTGCACGAATAGGTTCACCACCTTATGCATAATTTGGAAGAGAGCTTCTATATTTTAGACTGTGAAATACCTGTAAGGTAATCCTCAACCTATGACCACAACTGAGCTCAAAATTGCTATTGTTAAGTGAGAAATTTGCTAAATAAATTTGCTCCATTTTACGACTTTCCTCATGTCATTTAAGTGAATCACTGTAGTTCTTAAATTAGTAACATGGTTGTTAAGTGAATCTGGTTTACCCAGTGACTTTGCTTATCAGAAGGTCGCAAAAGGAGATAACATGACCCCAGGACACTGCAACCGTCATAAAGACAAGCCGGTGGCCAAGTGTCCAAATTTTGATCATGTGATTACAGGGATGCTGCAATGTTTGTGAAAAACAGTCACTTTTCTCAGTGACATTATAACTTTAAATGGTCATTAAATGACGGTTGTAAGTCAAGGAGTACCTGTAATGAGATTTCAAGAGTAAACCTGGTGTCATTGGCAAATGGGAGAGCAATTTAACAGGGACCACATGTGATTTTTTAAGACAAAAACAGAACGATTATTATTTTACAACTTGTTCTGAGATTTAAATAGGCAGTGAAATAAATAGGAAGACTTACCCGTATGCCAGACATACTGTACCCAAACATATGTGCTGGCAGCAAAAAACAACCATTGTATTGGTATGAATAGCAGACATATGATATTTGATGTGAATGCTACACAAACGAAAAATACTGAAAATGCCTAAAGAGAATCGAAGGGTTGGAGAGAAGAGGAAAAGGAGAAAGTTCATTAGGCTTTTTTAAAAATAGTGAGCAGATTTCACTGAAAGCATTGCAATTGCATCCATCCTTACAAAGACTCAACATTTTACCAAGAAAGCTATATAACAGCATTTCCCCCCTAATTATTCATAATAATTTCATGGCTAACATTTTATTGCAACTTTATAGAAGAGAATTTCATTTTTGTAAATACTAGTCATGCCCCTAATTTTGTCTCACATGGAATTCTGAATGTTTGCCAGTATAATTTATCGAATGACTTGCTGGAGTAGCATGGTTGTCTTTAATTCAAATTTGTTTCAGCCAATGACTAGAAGCACCCTTTAACCTACAGTACAAGAATTCCACAAAAGTTTTATCTATCAAGGTTCTTGCATGAAAATAATGTACATGAATTTAATGGGATTCACTCTAGTATACACAGGAGCAAAAATGTAACCTAAGTATTATCTTTCCTTTATCTTAATCACGGTCTGTCTTTATCAGTGTTTCTCAATCTTAACAACTATACTGGCTGGGGAATTCTGGGAGTTGAAGTCCACAAAGCTTAAAGCGGCTAAGATTGAAAAACATTGCTCTGTATGAACTGAGCCACTGTTTTTATTTTTCAGAACACAAAGGCAATTGCTAGATAAATTTACTCTGCATTGGAAGTATGGTAGCAATTTGAACCAGAGTATGCTAGTTGGATAAATTCCTATTGATTATTTTTTAAATCTTATGCTGGCCTTTAAGCAGATTAAATATTATCTATTTATTTTCAATTATTCAATTTATACTCATAGAACAATGTGTAAAAAGAAAGATTGCTATTGCGTAAAAGCTGACTGAAAGAAAAGGGAAAGACAATAAGCAATTAGGATTTTTTTTATCCAGAGGCATAAAGTTTCTTGCTAAACCAAAATCCATATATTTGATTTATCTCTTTCCACCCAGGAAAATCTTCATGGATGCGAACTTTTTTTTAAATTCCCAAAAGTTAAAACTATAAACCTATTCTGTTATTCTATTATTAGAAATCTGGCAAAAGAGATGCGCTTTTAAAATGTTTTTGCTGCGGTGCTCTTAAGCGTGTCTGCAACATACGAAAGGTTATTTCTCTGCTTATAATGACCATTATAATCCAGTATTATCCATGTTTGGTAACTATGAGACAAATGACTATTAGATATTGAGAGACAGTCTGTCTGTATTTTTCCCATCCTTTTGTCTCATATTACTTGGTGTTCTCAAAATATATATTAGATCCAAAGCCTGCAATCCAAAGAGCTGCTTACACCAGAAGTCCTTACCCCCTTGAAGTCCCTCAACTCTTGGATAAAAGTTGCTTCTGAACAGCAAGGGACCTTATTAAAGCAGCACCCAGGATAGCAGAAGGGAATGTTCTGCAGCTGGAAATAGAGACAAGCACTCCTCCTCTTTTTGCAAAGATTTTTTTCAGAGCTATATATCAAACAGGACTCCAACTGAGAGATACATTGGAGAGCTACTAATGCTAATGCTAGTAATAATAAACAGATAAGTAGTTTTTCTATATTTATACATACCAATCCCTGGTATCTGAAGGAATCATAAACACTCCGGATGAAAAGCCAAAATGGCCACAAATATTCAAATCTGAATTCCAAAACAAAGTCAGCCACCAACACGAGAGCCCAAACTACCAGGAACTTCAGATACAGGAAAGTACTGAAAAGAAAGAAGGAAAAAAACACTAGTTTTGCATGTAGGCAAAGTAGCAGGATGATTTCATTTCTTATTCAAAATAAGCACATATGGCTCTGTATTAATAAACACAGAAGGAAAGGTCAAGTAAAAACAAAAAAAGTTATATAACTTAAATTTGCGAACATAAATCTACACTGTGTTACACAAAAGGCAACAAAAGTACATAGACAGTTAGTAGAGAAGGGACATTTAAAGAGCTGATGGAATAAAACTTCTAAAAACTTTTTTTAGAAGTTCCTGTGTTCTGTTTTTGCCCTCCGGAGAATAACTTCAACGTTCAGCACTTTCATCTTTCAAAATGAAGCATGTCTGCCATAGTTGTAATTTGAATTATGGTCCTGTGATATCAATCTGCAATGCTCCTTTATTTGCCTTCTGCACAAAGATGCAGAAATGCTGAAATTTTGCTCCGTTTGCAGTCCATGCAAAATACAGATTATACTGAATCAGACGGAAATTATATGGTTTAGTGGCATATAATACATATCCCAGTTCCGATAAATGCTCAGATAATCAGTAGCAGGCATAAAAAATAGTCTATTTGATATTGAAGAATCAACAAAACTTACACTGAGGTGGGTCTGTTAAAAGCAAACTTCCTTTTCGAGTAAAAGCTATTATCTGGGGGTTAGGTTTCCACATCATGGCGCTGCCTGATGCTTGGCTGTTTCCACTTGCTTTTCTGATTAAGGATTTTTTTTTTAATGTGCCTGTTAGCCTTGGCTTGTTTTTCTAACAAATCGGAGTTAGAAGTGGTGTGTCCTTGGCTTCCAATATTTGGCTTATTTGTAAGATGTGAGACAGAGTTTCTGATTTACACATGACAGTAAGTAACTTACAAAGGGAAAATTTGCTTTTTCATTCTCATTGGCAGGAAGAGCTTAGCCCTGTTGATGTTGGAAGCGAGCCATTATCTTTGCTAAGGTATCTGCCCAACAGTATTGATTTCATCAGACTTGGGTGCATCTTTATTTGTAGATGCCTAAATTCACATTTTTTTCTGTATCAAAAACTGCCAGTTTCTACTACAAAATTATGTGAATTGATTCTTTTTTATTATCAATAATTCAGTGGATAGCAGCTACTTGTAATACTTCATTTCCCCTAACAATCAGCTTCTCCTATCATTGTACTAATTTATGAATTACTTACTAAGTATCACATATTTTTCTCAAAGCTCACTTTCCAAGTTCACCCCAGGGAGCCAGTGAGTATTCTTATAGAATTTATATGATTTTTATGATCCATCTTCAGGGTGATTGCAAGCAGAGTTCTGGAACTGAAGCTATAACATTCACCTTGGGGAATGACTTCTGTCACCAGAACAGTGGGAATGCAGACTTGTAAATTTTCCTAGCAAAGGAACATTTTCAGAGCAAGAGCCACATTTGATTTTTGAGGAGCATTTGGGGGGTTCCAAAAATAGGCTAAGCTGGGACAAATGATCACATCATGACAAATGTGGCATCTATCTTGATTAAAAAGTGTTTACTTTACCTCACACCTGATAAATTTAATATTTCCCCCCTGGGGTTAAATGAAAAATTACAAACTGTTGACAAATTTGGGCAGGGCCTTAAGGCCATGCTTTTCATGGAACATGTGTTGGCCTCAGATTATGCATTTTTGCAACAACTGACAGTAACCTTTGATATAATTGATAGTGCTGTTTCCTGCTAAGCTGCACAGGTTGGAAATGAGAATAGTCTTATAGAAATGGGTTTATTTTCTAACTGAATGGAGGAATTCTATTTGACTCCTTAAGACAACAGAATTTTGGAATCTGACGGGTACCCTTTTAATTCTCATACATTAAATCACTTGACACTGTTACCTGGTCATTTGGGCTAAAGTGCCATTTGTCATAAAAATGACACTCAGTATTTTTTCTCCTCTTGATTTCCATCAAATTCAAAAGAGGCCCTGTACTGCATGTTATTGATCAGTGGTTGAGTGTAGTACTGCATTGGTTGAAAGTCATTTAACTGAGACTCAATTTAGTCAAGATGGAGACATTATTGCAGGATAGATCATTTGTTTAGCTCAGTAGCCTTCATCCTACTCCATTTGTTTTCTACAGCCTTCTTCAGTTCACAGTTCAGGAGTATTTATACTGATCTAGTTTACATACAACAGAAAGCAGGCTATTGCTGGTGACTTAGCCCTATAAAAGACAGCGTCTGAGTACACAGCAAAGCACAGCCAGGTGGATCTCACAGCAAACCATCTCATAGCAAACTATTGTTTGTATACTAGCTCATGTAAGTGGTGGTTTTTGCATGGATTCGCTATTTGTTGAAAATTAACACAGAAATATTGAATTTGTGAACCGAAACAAGAACTGTTTGGTGAACTGTTCCTGCCACTGAAGGACAAGAGTGATGCATGCATTGCCAGTGTCTGAACCTGAAGATTGTGACAGCTTTGAGAAATTTCTAGACCTCTGTTTTTGTTTTTTTAATGGATCATGACATTATTCAAATAGGCTTCAAATGGAAAAAAAAAGAAGTCATTTATGAAACACAGCAGTCTTGTAGTGTCACTGTAGTATCATCATTAACAGAAAGGACAGTGTGGTATACGATTAAAAGCAACAAGCTAGAACCTGGGGGACTGTGAGTTCTTGTCCTGCCTTAGCATAAAGCCAGATAAATAACTTTGGACTAGTGCTAATCCCTGCCTCTTAGCCCTAGAGAAAAAGCAATGACCATTGGTGAAAATATTGCTAAGAAAACTGTAGGAACTGGTTTAGGGAGTCACCAGGAGTTAACACTGGTCAAAAAATAACAAGCAAACAAATACATATACACATACAATCCATCCCCCCACCCCGCCAAATCCTCTAAACCAGAAAACACCCCTTCCATCTGATGGGACTTTCTTACCAGACAGATTGTTCAGTTTAGTTCATATGAGTATCTTAAGAAGATTATTTCATATGACTAAAAACATTTCAGACAATCCCCATAAAGCAATGTTGTCAATTTCAAAAGCTGAATAAAATATTTTAAAGTATTTATCTGTTATAAAACAAGTTTTCCTGACCATTCAAATGCTGATTATCCTTGAATAATAGATGAAAACACTCTTCCCCATAGTTTTTTTTAACTTTCTGTTAAAACTTTATGTAGCATAAAAGATAATGCACATGCTGGAATCTCTAACAGAATAATAATTTATATACATGATTAGAATTATTGGCATAATTGCTCAAGATTGTTAAAATATTTACTATATAATAAACACCGTAGTATACTATATAGTATAATATATATCATATGTATATATCACTAAACATTTACTACAACAGCAAATGCTTTAGATTTCTGTTCCCATTTACAATCTTCAGAAATAAGCCTCCATCTAGTAAAACAGATGACTAAATGAATTAAGGCAAACTTAAATGTTAATGAAATGAAAGTTACTGCAAAATTAATATTATGCATCCTTTAAATGAAAGAATATTGGGTCCATGCATTTTCTTCACTTCCAAAGTAATCATACCCTGAAAATGAAGACAAATACCCTCATAAATACAATGAAGTAATTTATTTTAAAGATGACTATATAACACATATGAAAGAGAGTGATGAAATTGTAAACATTTATGTTCCATATACTGTATTTGTCCAAAAAGAGGGGAGAAATTACTATTTCAAACATTTTTAAAAACCCAGACTGGGCTTTATATGCAATGCAGATTATACCATAGAAAACGGAATCCCTGTGTATTAGGATTGTCTTTATAGAGATAGATTGGAACAACATTTGAGGGCAATGCCAGTAAACTGCATCTTCATAGCAAAAGCAAAGCCAAAAAGTGAGAAGAAATTTGCATAGGAGATAAAGAGAAAAAGGCAAGAGCCTGATAAAGTACTATTTGCCTCTATATACATTTAACCAAAACAGAGTAAAGGAAACAAGAAGGAAATGTGAGAATGTTGGAAATGAAGAGAAAACAGAAGAAAATCTCCTTACATCTACGATCCCAGAAAGAAATCAGGGATTTCCTTTCTTCATTTCTTTTTCTATGCCACAATACTGCCCTATGAAGTCACTATCAAGGGAATTATGAAGTTAAGATTCTTAACCTATCCAATTACATCTCAAAAAGCATCATCTCACTCAATTTATGACCTCAGGTCAAGACACTAAACCAGCAAGAAACATGCTGTAATAGCAATACCGAATCACAGATGTAGCACTTAGCATTAGCAGATCCAATCAAACATAAAGCATTAATGCTCTCTATCCTCATATAATTTCCTCTCTTTAACAAACCGTAGTTGAGATTGCAGGCTGAGATCTGGAGACCCGGAGAGCTGAAAATCAAGAATTAACGCAAAGTAGAGGATGGCGTGAGCAAGAGTACGGCCATTCATATAACCCCCAAAACCATGTCTTGGCATATAAAATGGGTTTTCCAGTGATGCCATGTTTACTTTAAAGCTAGATCAAGCTAGATCAATATTAAGGCAAAGGATCTTAGATATAGGGTTGTAATTTAATTGTATACTTGTAATAATTATAAACTAAGCACCTAAACCACCTTCATATTTATATTATATCACAGTCTCCAAATTCANTTTTACTATGACTTCAGACTGTAAATATATAGGTATGACAAACTGTCTTTGGAGATTCTCAGTCATCCAAGTCATGGTTGTCCCTTTGTGGACAACACAAAGCACCTTTGGGACGTATAGTAATCTGATTTTTTTAAAAATGTCTAGAAAATATTAATCCATATACATACATTTACTAATCTAAAAAAAATAGTAAATTGTATTAGCCATGAAAAGAAGCCTCATTCTTTTTGGCTTAGCATGTAAACTATTTGTCTCACAAGTTGCTCCACAATGCATCCAATCCGAGTAGTTACTTGAAGCCCATCATCATATTTGCAGAGACTAATTTAGCACAAAATTTCTCAAGTTTTTCAACTTCTTTGATGTCAACAT